AGGTTTTTCTGCTGAGGTAGCCTGAAGTGGATGCAAACAGAAGACAGAAGTGCCCCCTCCAAGTGCCCCCTCCAAGACAGAAGTGCCCCTTCCAAGCTTTCTGCCATGGCTTCAGTCCTGTTGCTCCCGCTTGGGACTCAGGGTTGCTTCTTAAGATTGCCGCCCTATATACTCAGTGGGACTTTATTCCAAGTAAACATGAACACATGAAAAGAGATGCAGGTTATGAAAATGCTTTATAAAATAATGACTGGTGCAAAGAGAGTAGGCAGAAACACCCCTCTCTAACGCTTTGTAAGTGCCACCAACAAAATTAACTGGTGGCAGAATCAAGACAGATTAAAAAGTTGTTCATACAGTGAATTTATGGAATTCACTGTCACAAGGAAACTTTAGATGGGTATCAGCCAAATTTATGAAGGGCATGTATTTCAGTGTTCACACCATTCCTGGTGTCCCTTGCAATCCAGATTTTCCATTCCTACCCCAGAAGTCATACTCAGTCCTCACTGGGCTGTGTTAGGAGTCACTCACCCTAGCTTCTTCCTGTCCACCCAAATATTCTTCATGCTTCTGCAAACAAATGTGCCCAGTTCTGGGGCTACCTCCATTTTGCCTGTAGGTGGTTTTGGCTGCATAAACATCAGCGCTCACAACCTGAGCAATGGAAATATAGAGAATGTTCGATGAAAGGCTTCTCCATTTTCAAAGGAGGTGGCATTGCTTTTGAAGACCAGTTGATAGGGAGCAAACTTTTAAGAGGGAGAGCCTCGTACCTGCTTGAACATCTGGAAAGGCTTTTCTTTAGCGATGATAATATTTATCTACAAAGCTTAATTCTCCCCATTTTCAAAGATTTTCATTCCTGATTACGTGTGTGCGCCGTTTGCTCAGCATGGATGAGCTGGCAAGCAACTGTTTACAGTAATACTTGCTTGCTGACCTTCATATTCCTAGACTGGATTCCAATATATGAGCATGCCCAGTCAAACAACTTTCACCAATATCTGTGGGCAGGTGTTATTGGCCACGATTCTAGTACCACAAATTGTGGTTGACCCCACTAAAGGATCTTTCACAACAGTGGCACCAGGTTGCCCCCGCCACTGCGGGTGCCCGGGGCCATACTTTGTGGGTGCCCTGCCCCCTCATTCAAAATGCTGTGGGAGCCACGGCAGTCTTGGCCCCTGGGACCTGGCGCTCCTTCCTTGGACAGCCCTGCTGTCAACCCCTCACTGCGCACGCTGCTTGCTTACATGCTGCAATACACGTCACTGTTGAATTTGCAGGCTCTCAGTGGCCCAGCATGCAGGAGGCTTTTCAAAGCAGTAGGAAACTGAGTTAACTGAGCCACTCGTGAGCTGGAATGCATTAATGTTCTGGAAAGACAGGGCAACATATGGGGAGCCTTGTGCGTAATGAAGGGTGTCACAGTGGGTGACAGAAAGCAAGATTCTGAAAGCTTCAGTGGGAATGGTTTGTCTCTTGCAGAGAGGTAACAGGGTCCCCCTGGGAGATGTGGGAGTTAAATTTTCTCAAAGTAAAGAAGCATTTTTAAAAAGCTTTTAAACCTGACAAAAGGAAGGCAACCATATTGATTTCATTTTATGTGTCAACTAAAAAAAAGTCAGCATACTGAGCATTAGTTTGAGAATATCAGGAATATTTTTTATTCTAATAGCATACCTAATAACAGAGCTGTGGCATATTCCAGCTGGTCTATACAATTCCACACTTCCGGGTTTGCTGCGTTTGCAAGCCGAAAAGATGCAACATGAACCTAACGCAACACAAGGTATGACTGTATTCCATTTCTTATACATGCCCTTATGTCACATAAGAAGGCGTCCTGTGTCACACCATTTGTAATAGTAAAAGGTTTCCAGAATGGTTGTCAGGAGTGAGCCCACAGTAAATCACACAGAGTAAGGTAGGTTAACTCTTTATTATAAAAACAGGACATGCACAAGGAAGCTGGGCCTAATGAGCACAGCAACTCTTCTTTGGTGGGTCTTGCTCCTATGAAGTTCTGGCCTCCCCACAATTGCCTATGTCCCCTCCTCTCCAGGGTTTTTTCCAAAGCAATCGGAGACTGTCCCTGTATGCCTGCCTTTGCTCCTCCTGTTTCATGCCTCTCCTGGTCCTAGGAAACCAGGGGGGAGGGGAACTTGCCACAGCAGGGGGCAGAGACACCTTTGCCTGACCCATCTCCTGCCTGACCCATCTCTGCCTCTTGGCCTCCTTCGTCTGCCTCTTCTGCTTCAGCTTCCCCCTCTGATTCTGGACTTCTCTCTGCCACAGACTCTCCTCTTCAGCTTCCCCCTGTTACTGGAAAAATCCGAGGGCTCCCTTGGACAAAAAGTAAAGACACCAACCAGAGTAAATTGAAGCAAATCAGCAGCCTGTAGGCTTGGTCTTTATTGAAGAAAGACTGTCGCGACAGGGTGTTCCCCTCACTTGCAGGTGAGAGGAAAGACAAAGAAAAATAGTGTGCAAGGTCTTATAAAAACTTTTGAAATTCCCCTCCTCTAGGTCAAGCCCACCCCCAGAAACATCATGCATACATTACAGAAAGGAGAGGTTGAGGGAGGAGTTGGTGGTAACCTGAGTGTCCTGTCACCTGGCTGGTTCCTCCTTCCCCCCCTCCCCATGAGTCACTTCCAGGAGACAAAGGAGGGCCAGTATGGTGTAGTGGTTAAGAGCGGTAATATCGTAATCTGGGGATCCGGGTTCGTGTCTCCGCTCCTCCACCTGCAGCTGCTGGGTGACCTTGGGCCAGTCACACTTCTCTGAAGTCTCTCAGCCCCACTCACCTCACAGAGTGTTTGTTGTGGGGGAGGAAGGGAAAGGAGAATGTTAGCCGCTTTGAGACTCCTTAAAGGGAGTGAAAGGCGGGATATCAAATCCAAACTCTTCTTCTTCTTCTTCTTGCAGTTTCCTGCCCCCAGAGGGAAGATCTGATCATTGTCCATGCTGAATCCACTCCCATATGCAAGTTCTTTGTGATCTTGATTGTCTTCTGTCAGGGTTGGCATAGCAACTGGGCAGGGCTCCTGTGGATGTGCTGGAATGGTGAAGGGATTATGGCTGACCAGAACCAAGCCACCCCCTTTTGATAGTCCTTGTCATATGGAGTAAAATAAAAATGGAACAGTGCAAATCCAATGTATGGTTGATTTTTCTATGAATTTATAACAGAAGTGTGGCGTATGTAGTGCGTGAGTGTGAGTGTGTGTGAAGTTTGTACAAACAGAATGATTGGGGTGTGTGTGGGGGGTTCCTGCTACACCCCTCCTCCCAGTCTTCTCCCTCTGACCACTCATGGTTGTCCCACCGCCAGTCCCCTGGCTCTGAGCCTTCTTCCCTTGGGGGTTCCCCAGCTGGCTCCTCCCACCATGCCTCTAAGAGTTGGAGGAGGCAAGGATGTAACAGACAGGTGGACAACTGGCCCCTTGTGGGAGATGCATTTAACTCAAGGGTGCCAGAATGTTTGGACACAAAAATGTTTACAGCCCTAATTGCTCATGGGAAATCCTGAAGTGTATATACGCAGCATTGCAGTTTCAGGGGTACTGTGCATGAGATACTCCTCAGCTTTGGACTATCTTCAAGAATGTGATTTGACCCATTCATTTATAGGGAGTTCTATGAATTTCCCATGGAGAGCTCTCTCTCTCATTTAATTTCCATGCTAATTATCTAACTTGACTTCTCTTTGAGCTTTGGCCTTTTAGCTCTTCCCTCGTATATTCCTTACTTAAGCTACTTGGAGGGAAGAGGGAAGATGACCTTCTGGGCCAGACTACTTCTGCAGTCTTATTATTTCTATATATAAACATGAGAACATTCTTCATCTTGATCAAGAAAAGAGATTGTTGGCATATTCTGGAGTCTGAGATAGAAGTTTCTGTATAAAGAGGCCGTCAAACAGCCAATATATTTTGGAGGTTTACAGTGCCTGATGATATTGGTTGCTTGGCAGCCTCTTTATACAGAGGCATGTCATTCACATTGATGGAGGTGATCTCCACTCCTCTCTCTCTCTCTCTCTCTCTCTCTCTCTCTCTCTCTCTCTCTCTCCCACTTTTACCCAGACCAGCTAAAAGCTGGCTTTGCATTTTGGCACCTGAGGCAAACCACCAAATGATGCCCCCCCCCCGCCAGGGAAGATCTACATCTGGAACAAGGAAGGAAGGAAGGGATAAAGCTCTCAGTTGGCCCTGCTGGCTCGAATGCTATATTTGCCCTGTGAGTGCTGTGGTAAAGTTTACTTCCTCTTCTTTCCACCCATAACATTTGCTTATTTTAAACAGTTGCTCTTTGTTAAAATACAACCTGAATACATCCAAAAAGAAAAGTAGAACATGTTGCCCATCCTTTCCATGCCCTTCCAGGGCTGAGCCAAAAGGACTGACTGATTTCATGAATATTTTCGCTAGTTACTCTGCCATTTTTAATTATCAGTTCCAAATGTTTTCATTGTCTCCCTGAATGGACTTCATATGCCATCAGTAATGTTGTCCAGTTACCAAGGCCAAGACTGGTGGGAAACATTCAGGTGACTAATCTGGGACGAAGCAGCAATAGTTAGGAAGGGGAAAGGCCTTAAATTTCCACTATCGCCTTTAGTCAATGAGCATTTTGCAGGTTTTAAAAAACAATCAAATAGTACTCAAATATTTCCTCCCATCCCTTCTGCCTGCCACCTCCCATTCTCTCTGTGGAATTTAGATGGTAAATTCCTTATGGTAGATACTCCCCTTTCTTCCTTTTTGGGGGATCATATTCTGAATTGCAGAGTCAATTGCTTAAAGGGGAAAAAGGCATCTCATTGAAGCAGAGGCGCTGACTTGGCCTCAGACTGTGGGTGCCCAGTGGCACACGTACATGAAGTGATGTCATGATGCCACAGCGGCTTGTGCTGCCGCCACTGGTCTCTGGTGCTGCTTCCATGCTTCTGCAGCGGTGGGGGTGGGGCAGCAGAACAGGGGTGCACGTCCATGGCCGCAGCTGGCCCCAACAGAGGCCCTGTGGTAGAGGTGGAGGCCCCAGCCCAGTGGCCACCACAGGGCCAGAGAGCCAGAGGTAAGGCAGCGGGTGGGCAGAGGCGGGCACCTTCAGTGAATTTTTTGTGCAGATTTGGTGCCGGTGCATTGACGCAACAACCTGTTCCAGCAAAGGACGTAGCAATGCCTGGTAAGACAGAAAAATACCACTGAGCCTCCTTTTTCAAAAAAACAACAGCCACCCATGGATGCTTTTATATTCATGGCATAGCTGCATTTTGTATCCACTTTATATAGGTTCAACAGCCACGAATTATTCCCCTAAAGATTTCCGGGAATTGTCATTTAATAAGGATTCTAAGGACTCTCTGTTAGATACCCTTACCTTCTCTGACCAAGCTATGGTTTCCAGGATTCCTGAGAGAGAGCAGAGAACTATTAAGTCAGTCAGAGCCTATGGTGTTGATGTGCCCTTAGAAAGGCTGCCAGGAAAGTTTTAAAACACACCCTATGTACAATTTGCTCTGTGATGATGTCGCTTCTGTCGTGTATTAACCAAAGCTTGCCTCTGACATGGCAGGATTAATGAAGCCCAAAGTGGCCATGTACCCAGGCTGAACAGATTTTGAAAAGGGGGCGGGGGGGGGGGAGAGTGCACTTGCAATTGCCCAAGTATGCTATTTTTCAGGTTTCTTGTAGCTATTGGGGAATCAAAATGACACATTTATACAGAGTTGTAGTGAGGACTATGTGACCTTGGGCAGCACTTTTATCAAATGCTTCCCACCCCACATTTAGTATCTCAAAGGCAAAAGAGCGTGTGGGGTATGTTAATTTCACTGTTTTCTCCTACAAGATACAACACTTTGCTCTGAGAAGAGAAACAGTGAGTGGGATTCAGAAGACCAGACTGACTGTTCAGGGATCAAGATCAACTAGTGAAAACATTTCTTGGTGTGGCCTTTGCCCACAGCATCATCACTGGGAGAGAGAGAAGAAAACACTTTTTCTAGATGGAACTTGTGATAAATAACTGACAATATAGCAGGCATGCCACAAAAGCTACATCAAACGAGGGCTGTCCATTTTTATTAGCAACTTTTCTCCAAGAGATACAAAACACAGGAGCAGTACAGAGGTTGTATTTTACAAATAAATGCAGAGCAGCTAATATAGAAGAAGAAAAGCAGCAAAACACATCATGAAAACCAAACTTCATGATTTGGTGGGGAAAGAGTTTTGTATATCTGAATTTGACACATAAGAAATGAAATCCCACCAAACCAAACAGTGCAGAAATGTTTCTGGTTTCTCCTACCCTTAGAAATGTGTAAGCTGTGAGTTATTTTCTCTGCAATAGCCAGAGACCATATATTCTTGTACAAGAGTATCAAGTCCAGTCAGTTCTTCCATTTCTGAGTCATAGAAGCTCTCACTGTAAAACATTCCTCAGTTTGGAAAATGGCCGTCTGAACATCCTACAAGTTCAAAAGGGCAAGAGGGCAGCTTGGATGGGGCATTTACATTTTATTTTATACTTTTTCAAATAATCTATCCAAGATTTTGATGCCCATGGGCTCAGGCTTCAAGTGACTATTTAAATTAAGGGGGAAAGTTTACCTAAATGAGGTAAATGAGATGTGCCATCTCCGTCCTACTTAACATCGCTTACGGCCGCGTCTCACCGATATGCCTTCATTAGAGCTAGGTTTAATGTCTTTCCAACAAACGTGCTGAGACATAGATTCACTAAGGGCCAAGTCCCTTCAATGTGTGCGTGTGAAATGAAAACATCTGAATCTCTACATCATGTTATGTTTATCTGCCCTTTGTACAGTTCAGCCCGTGCTAGTATACTAAACTCCATAATCCAGCCTATGGCTGACAAACCAGTAGACCTACAGCTTGCCTGGGTTCTTCAAGATGTGGATCCTTATATTACCCTACAGGTTGCTAAATTCCTAACAGCCGTCCTCTCGTACAAGAGACGGAATGGAATGTTAGCTGATTATTGATAGTTATAAGAATTTTCTATAATGACATCAGATATTGATTTTAGTGTAGTGCCTAAAATTTTTTTAATCTTAATCTTAAACTTTTCTTATGAATGGCTAATATCTGTCCTTGTGAGTTGAGAACTGTGTTATACTACTTGTGGCTTGTACGTAAAGCCGAATAAACATTTTGATTTGATGTGCCATTAAATATGTATTTGCATGTAGCATGCAGTTAAAAGACAGAGAAAAGTACATTGCAATTCCAGTAATCATCACTCCACTCCACTCTATTTAAGAAACCTCTACATGTAAAATGCAAATATGTGCTTAACATCCTGTCTGCTTTGACCATCAGATCTTTGAATGGCTGAAGAACACTAGTCTTGTGAAGGCTGGAACCAGGGCCTCTTTCTGCAAAGGTGTCCTCTGCCTCTGCTCCATAGCTCTTCCTTGTCTGTTAGAGTGGTATATAATAAACTCTCTTTAAAAAAAATTAAAAAAAATTATTGGGTTTTCAAATTTTATACAGACAACACACACATAAAAGACAAAGACAAAACACGTATAATTTCATACCCTTACTTTCTTATCCCTCTTTCCCTGACTTCCCCCCACCCCCCCTCATACATCCCAATTTCCAAAGTTAGTTCAGCAAGTTTTTGTCCCTTCCTTTAACCTAATCTGTTGTTTTTAAACTTGATTCTTTTTACTAAGTCAAATTTTACTTATCCCATTCTCTTATTAACATCAAATCCTTTTTTCTAAGGTCGACCTAATTTCTCATCCACAAATTTCCCCTTTTTTATATTAAAATATGAATCAAAATAACCAAACACAAAAGTCATAAATTTTCCAACTTCTGATCTCCCCCTCCCTCCCTACCCCGGTTTCCGTCCCTTCCCAAATAATTATCCACCCATACAGTTCCTAGCCCGGATTCCTCACATCCGAGGCCTTTAAATCTCTGTCAGTCTCTCTCTGTCGGTTTTGTTGGTAGTCCTTTTTGTTGGACCTCAGGTCTCGAGGGTAATCTGTCACAGCCACATCTCCTTCTCTTGCGCCCAAGATGGTTGAAAGAACTTGCTGCCAAAGATCTACCATAGATCTCCCGTACTCAAACTCAGAAAAGAAGAGGAAGTCCCAGTCATATTTCTTTGCTCTTTTTCCAAAAAATCCAGAGACTTCCTCCTTTACTTTTCTCATCCTTCTCATCTTTCCCAAATTTGTAATCCAAAAATCTTCTGCTTCATTTTCTGACAACATAGGCTTCTGCTTGGTATTTTCTGCCAATACTTTCTCCCCTCCTTCTTCCTTTTCCACCAATTCCACAGATGTCGCTTCTGATTCAGCTGCAGATTTTTTCCCAGTCAAGTCCTTTGTTCCATCAGCAGGGTTGTTTGTTTTAGAAATCAAGGTCGTGAGTTCTTTGTTCATAGCCATACTCTGCTCTTGCAAAATTCCCACGAGAAAAAAAGCTCTTTCAATTTCTGCCAGTAATTTTCCCTCTGCAGCCATTGTAATGTCACTAGTTCCCCCTAGGGGGATTCCAGTTACTCAGTGGTTCCTTTCCTTTCCAACAGTCCGTTACTTTGTTTTTTATTATTACTTTGTTTCCAACCACTTCTAGTAAAATGTAACACCTTCAGTCCAGAGAGATATTAAGTAATCCAATTCTTAATTTTATCCACCCGTTTGACAGCTCCTTTGACAGCTGTCAAACTCCTTATTCTTTTTCGTAGGACTCACACACAGGACGCTCCTGGGTTCGGGAGGGGGGGGGGGGTTACACAAATTTTTCTAACGCTCCTCTCTTCTCTCCAGCACAGAAAACTTCTTTTGTCAAATTCGTGGAATATCTTTTATCATACACCAAAAACACACTGTTCTCTCAACCTTAGTTCTCCGATCCTTGCTTTAGATCGTTTGTAGATAGGGGGGTGCGGACTTCCCTTTAGCACATCCCCCGGTCGTACCAAATTAAAGGTAGAAATTTTTAAAGTCCGAATTCCTTGTACTCACAGGTATTTGTTTCCAGTCCAAATTTCGGGGAAAAAGTTAACGCTCTCCGGCCATGGCTCGCGGCTTCGCTCCACTGAAGTAGCGGTCTACTCCCAGCACCGCGCCACTCTCCGTACCCTCTCCGTAGCCTTTAAAAAGGCTCTTTGTGGGTCAGAGAGGGCGCTTAAGGTGCCCGCTGAGTCACCAAGTCCACAGGCATCCGCACCTGTGGTTTCTATGGGCCCCCGTGTCGCCGGCACGGTAAGATCCGTCTTCAGCAGAGCCGATTCCCTCCGGAGCTCGGAGGGAATCCGCCATTAGCCGATCGCGTCAACCCGGAAGTCCTGGTATATAATAAACTCTCCTCTTGTTATACAACATACCTCCTTTCGACAGTAGGGTGGTCTTGTAGAGTAAAAAGAAAAAGTGAACCTTTTTTTCACTGTTTTCCAAATTCACTGGCTTACAATCTTTCCCAAGTCTCTGAAGTTTTTCTTAAGATTTTCAGTTACCTCAGTGTAGAAAGAAGGGGTGGGGGAACCAGACATTTATTTCTCATTATTCATGTTCTCATTACCACAGACCTAAAAGATCCAAGTCTCTTGGGCTGCTGTCATACATATACAATGGCATCTTCTGAGGGACAGACTTGGCAACAAAATCTGCCTTCAGAGACTGACACTTTGTTGGTCAAGGGGCATTGCGGACCCTGGCACCAAGGAGTTTGTGGCCTCAATAGCCAGAGGACACTATTTTTATAAAAATCAAGTAGGCAAAACAGATTATGCTCAACTTTGCATGACATATTCTTGTTTTGAAAACAAGAACATCCCAGGTGCCAGGATTGCCACCCATTTAATCCAGATTTTGCATCATCATCATCATCATCATCATCATTTATACCCCACTCATCTGACGGGGCTTCCCCAGCCACTCTGGGCAGCTTCCAACAAAATATTGAAAGTAATGAAAAACAATTTCCCAAGCAGCACAGAGGGTAGAATTTATATTTACAAAAGGAAAAGGAAAGGGCACTTAAAGGACTGTTGCTTAGGTCAAAATTATCCATTTTCACCCACTGTGGATTCTCATTCTCTGTAATAAGACAGATCATGTGACTGAGTTGGCATAAGGTAAAGGTAAAGGTACCCCTGCCCGTACGGGCCAGCCTTGACAGACTCTGGGGTTGTGCGCCCATCTCACTCAAGAGGCCAGGGGCCAGCGCTGTCCGGAGACACTTCCGGGTCACGTGGCCAGCGTGACAAGCTGCATCTGGCGAGCCAGCGCAGCACACATAACGCCGTTTACCTTTCCACTGGTAAGTGGTCCCTATTTATCTACTTGCACCCGAGGGTGCTTTCGAACTGCTAGGTTGGCAGGCGCTGGGACCGAGCGACGGGAGCGCACCCTGCCGCGGGGATTCGAACCGCCGACCTTTCGATCGGCAAGCCCTAGGCGCTGAGGCTTTTACCCACAGTGCCACCCGCGTCCCAATAAGACAGATCATGTGACTGAGTTGGCATACATTAAACTATAATGCAAGATTTGGTGGCTGGATTTTCTAGACATGGGCCAAAGAAGTGAGCATTGACAATTTCCACTCCTGTTTCTGTTTTTGCCAGAATTCTCTGACATCCCTACTTGCAACCCACCAACCTGAGCACAGTCCACCACTCCTGTGCTGTGGCTTGTCCAGTGCTTGATGTCACATCCATTCCAGATGGGCACCTGTAGCAGGCGATGGTGAGCTTCCATACATGACTGGTGGAGTCTGTTCAGTCTAGTGGGTCACAAGCTGGGCAGTCCTTTTCTACATGGTGCTTTGAAGGGTTATTTGGTAGAGCTGAAGAAGCAAGGTGTTGGCTGTAAACATAATCCTGAAGTGAGACAAGTGAACATACTTTTTTTTGTTCACTGAAAGGTGCAGTAATGCCATAAGCATGTTGGGAGGACTGGTAATTCTAGTTTCAGCAGGGAGCCAGACAAGTGTAAAGAGACATAAAAGAGAATCAAACGAGGATCTGGTTGTGAAACCTGAGCACATTTCTAGTTCAGTCATACAGAGTGCAAGTTCTGCCAAAACTGCCTTTAATCAACACTTCTTTGCAGTGTTTAACAATTCCCTGCCAAAATGCACAAGGAGATAACTGGCTCGTCACACCTATCCTGGTGTCAATTGCACTACCACAGAGCAGGGAACATTCAGATGGAACTACATTCTGTTTCAATAAAGACCTTAAGTCTATGAATTCACAAGTTCAGAATTGCTAGTTTACACATATTTGGGAATGTTAAAAAATCAAGTTTGTTATGCTTCTGCCAAGAAAAACAGGATGTTAGAAAGTTGCACGTATAGAATGCTCTACTTATCTCCCTGGGGTTGGGGTTGCTGCCCTGTGGCTCCTTGGCAAAGGAACACATATTTCACTGCAGAGGTTATCAAAGGGAAATTAATTAGATTTAGCTTCCTGTGGATGATGAACAACACCACAAGGTAAGTATTTATCACTTTGCTTCTATTAACACAACAGTTGTTTCATTAGTACAGTTACCGTGCATTCCCAACTTTTTTGAATGGCAAGAAGTTCTGAGGAACTTTGTTTCTTTTGGATTAAAGCCAGCCCTGGAGACTCATGATGTCTTCCTCTGCTTGCATACTTGTCAAGAAGCAGGCTCTACAGCAAGTAGCACAACTAGCAATCCTGAATCACATTCCTAAAGAACTGACCTCTGAGGGCACTCCAATTTTAGCCAACTTTGAGCTAAAATTCTGACCAAACTGAGAGTGCAAAGTCCCTCCAGCTGATTCTCCGTCACTCCTGCAAACTCTGATGGGTATGATATCCCAAGAAGTGGAAAGAGATCTCAGACCATTAAGTTTATTTTGCTAGGCTCACTGACCTTTTTAAATATCTCCCATCAAATTAGCCAGGCAAAACCATTGTGATAGGCCCATTCACAATCATCAAGACAGCCAAACTCATAACATGGCAGGCAAAAAGTTGACAGTGCTCCCTGTTCCTAAAGTACTGTGAAATAAATAATATTGCTTGCTAGGTGGCAAAAGGTCTTAGACATGGACACTTTGCCAAAGGCAAAAATTAAGACCTGTCTGATTTTATATCCTCCAACCTTCATTGTCTCAAGACACATAATATGGTGGGCAGGGTTTCCTTTGGTAACTCCAGCATGATTTGCACTTGTGTTCTCTGTGCTGAATGCTACATCAATGCAAGGGGGAGAGGGCTGGCCATATGAGAGTGGTTAGGACTGCAGCTCACTTCACGACTCCTCTTCCCCTTTCCTCACCCACTTCTGTGCTGAGTAAGGCTTTGGGTTTTACAGCCAGCACAATTGTGTAGCCCAGAACCTTTGCGCTGACAGCATCAAAGCCCTTATTTTGTGCTGACTGTGCTGTATGACACTTGTGCCAAATCCTGAAGAAGCTGAGCCCACAGAGTTGTTGGAAGAACACAATTTCACAAGTTATCTGGGGAGGCTACTGACCAGCAACGTTCAGTTGTGGGTCAAGAAATCAGGAAACAAGGGCAATCAGGAGACAGGTCTTTCAGAACCCTGGACAGATCTCACAGAGCAGACAACCTGTTCCAACAACTAGTTTCATCTGAGTTCTTACCTATGTCATAAACTCCACCCCTTTTCTGACGAGTAGAACTTAAAACAGGATTCCATTAGACATCGGCTAGTTCTCACTGGGTATGTGATCTGCACTCATGTATGAACCCTGATCATTGTGAGACTTTGGCGGGGTTGCAGTCTTGGGAGGTTATAGCATTTGGATTTGGCGTCAGAGTCAATGTCCAGAGCATGTCCAGTCTGTGCCACTGTCCCTTCCAGCTCAAATGACCCCCCCCTCTGTGTCAGTGGTCAGGTTGCTCCTTATGGTGAGGGGCCTTGAAACAGCCCTATCCAATTTGGGGTTTCTGGAGAACAGGCTTGCACCCTTCTAAATCACACTTGAGAGTTGAAAGCCACATACTCTAAATATGCTTTAGAATTTAGATGCATTTTGTGGCTGTGACTTTTCATTCATCGCCTTGCTTGCAATGAAACCTAAAGCAGGCCCATTGAAATACATTTATTTATTTATTTATTCATTCATTCTTTTCAAGTTTATACATTTCACTAATTTTATATATTTCACTAATTTTACAATCATTTTGACATTTCAAAACTTGACTTCCTTCCCCCTCTTTCTGACGTTCCTTAAATTTGTTTTTAATATCTCCTGCATATCCAAATTAACTTAATTTGCTCATTTATTCATCTTCTTTAAATATATACTCTTCTTCTTTCTTTTCTTCAGGTTATTACAATAATCCTGACAGCGTTTTTATATACTGTATTTATAATTCATCTGTAAATATTCAATAAACCATTTCCATTCTTTTATTTAAAAAACTTGTTATCTTGATTTCTTATACTTGCGGTAAGTTTCGCAAGTTCTGCATATTTCGTAAATTTTTATATCCATTCTTCCTTTGCTGGGACTTATGCTTCTTTCCATTTGGGGGGCAAGTAATATAATTTCTGGGGGACGCGGGTGGCGCTGTGGGTAAAACCTCAGCGCCTAGGACTTGCCGATCGCATGGTCGGCGGTTCGAATCCCCGCGGCGGGGTGCGCTCCCGTCGTTCGGTCGCAGCGCCTGCCAACCTAGCAGTTCGAAAGCACCCCTAAGTGCAAGTAGATAAATAGGGACCGCTTACCAGTGGGAAGGTAAACGGCGTTCCGTGTGCTGCGCTGCCCTAGAGTCTGGCAAGACTGGCCTGTACGGGCAGGGGTACCTTTACCTTTTTAATATAATTTCTGCTCATTGCAGTGAGCATCTCAGAAACCAAATGTTTCGGTTTTCGAAAGTCAGATACCCAGAAGTAATTGCTCCCATTTTTGAACACTTTTCGGCAGTCAGACGGTCCTCCGGAACGGATTACGTTCGAAAATTGAGGTACCACTGTATTAACCTGGTTTCAGATTGATGCTAAGCGACAGGTATTCTTCTCGCCAGTTCTTGTTGCAGTTTAGCTTTTAAGAAAACACAGGCTTCCTGCCCTCTAGGTGGCACACTTGACTTGAGCCTTGCCCCTCTTTTGTCTTTCTCTCTCTTTTTTTAACAGCGAGATCTCCAAGCGAAACTTCAGCTTCGTTACACAGAGATTGCCAAGAGGTAAGGGGGGGTGTCAAGTGTGGGAGGGGTTCCTTCGCTGCCTTCCCCCTGGAAGGGAACCAAAGCCCTGGGTTCAGATCTCAGCCGCAGGCCTCTCCCCCCCAATGAAACAAGTTTTGAACTGCACACATCATGGACTTTCAGGAGAAAGTCAGAGCTGGGACAGCTCAGTCAGCAGAGCACGAGACTTTCCATCTCAAAGTCATGGGTTCGAGCCCGACGGCGGGCAAAAAGATTCCTCCGTTGCAGAGGGTTGGACTACAAAATGACCTTTGTGGTCCCTTCCAACTCTACAATTCTATGAAATGCTAAAACGTTTCTGTTTGCCCAGACATTTGAAAGCCACTGTTCCCAATAACCCTGAGATAATGTTTTTTTTTTTAAAAAAAACCTAACATGTTTTATTAGAGGGACACGGGTGGCACTGTGGGTTAAACCACAGAGCCTAGGACTTGCCGATCAGAAGGTCGGCGGTTCGAATCCCTGTGATGGGTTGAGCTCCCGTTGCTCGGTCCCAGCTCCTGCCAACCTAACAGTTCAAAAGCACAAAACATGCAAGTAGATAAATAGGTACCGCTCTGGCGGGAAGGTAAATGGCATTTCCGTGCGCTGCTCTGGTTCGCCAGAAGCGGCTTAGTCATTCTGGCCACATGACCCGAAAGCTGTACGCCGGCTCCCTTGGCCAATAAAGCAAGATGAGCGCTGCAACCCAGAGTCGGCCACGACTGGACCTAATAGTCCGGGGTCCCTTTACCTTTACCTTTAACATGTTTTATTACTGCTGTCTGGGGCTCCTTCATGTGGAAGGGTGGGATATAAATCAAATAATGGAGAAGAAATTTAGAGTACTGAGTAAATTTATTGATAAAAAATATTTATTTAGTACATTATATCCCACCTTTCCTGCAAGAGCTCAAGGTCATGAAGGTAGTTTTCCTCCTCATTCTATCCTCACAGCAACCCTGTGAAGTAGGCCAGGCAGAGAGTGAGTGAACAACCCAATGAGCTTCCAGGCTGGGTGGGAGGATTCGCACCCTCCACCTGTGAGTTCCATTATTATTGTGAATAAAGGCTCTATTGTCTTAAAACAAGCCAGACATTTGCATATGCCGATGGTGCTTGAGTGGTCATGTGCCTCAATATCTGTGTAAGAAATAAAATCATGCCATATTATGGGGGGAAATGTCATTTGAGCTCAGCCCTTTAGATACTTTCAATTTATGGGAGATCAATCCTGTTGTTCGCTAATGACTGGTCAGATAACTGAACCAAACCTCTTAGATTTCCCCCTTCCATTGTTTGACCTTCTTAAACGTCTTGTTCTTTAGGACTCAGCCACCTCCACGCCTCCCTGTCGGCCCCAGCCATAAATTTGCAAACAATTACTACTGCACCCGTGACGGACGCCGGGAGACTTTCCCTCCCATTGTCCTTGTATCAGCTCAGAAAAGGTTGGCTCCAGGGCAGCAGCATGCCAGGTAGGTTTTGTGTTCCTTTTGGTCTACACCCACTTCAGCCTAGCAATCTTGGAAACTAAATTGAGCCAGGTCTGGCTGTTATTTGATTTAAGAGCCTGCAGAAAACACTCACCTACTGGACTGGGGCAGACAAGGTAAAACTGTAGACAGACAGCTGGCACAGCTTCATCCCAATGGCTCCTTTAGTTTTATTTTGAGCTGTCAATGGATTAAAACTCTTTGGTCAGCCTGGGATGTATCCAATTTAATGAAGTATTTTGGTGGAAAACTCTGCAGACTTCAGATCCTATCATGTGCCTGTCTGGCAAGACATGAATTGTTGGTTTTTGACCACGTTTTAAATTTCCCACATTCAGTAACAGAGTAAGTAAAGGTAAAGGGACCCCTGTCCATTAGGTCCAGTTGTGGCCAACTCTGGGGTTGCGGCTCTCATCTCGCTTTATTGGCCGAGGGAGCCGGCGTACAGCTTCCGGGTCAGGTGGCCAGCATGACTAAGCCGCTTCTGGCGAACCAGAACAGCGCACGGAAATGCCGTTTACCTTCCCGCCAGAGCGGTACCTATTTATCTACTTGCACTTTGACGTGCTTTCGAACTGCTAGGTTGGCAGGAGCAGGGACCGAGCAACGGGAGCTCACCCCGTTGTGAGCATTCGAACCGCCGACCTTCTGATCGGCAAATCCTAGGCTCTGTGGTTTAACCCACAGCACCACCCGCATCCCTAGTAACAGAGTAGAAACATTTAAATTAATGGGCGTTACTAATTTTGGGACTCTCCTTCCTTGGAGTTTTTTAAGCAGAGGTTTGGAATTGTTTACGTGCGATTCCTGCATTGCAGGGGTTAGATTGGATGACCTTTGGGGCTCCTTCCAACCGTACAAATCTGTGATTGTACTGTATGGTTCTAATACAAAAACAAACAAACAAAAAACACAAGCAGTTAAAACTATACAATAAAATATCAACTAAAATGCCTGCGGTAATAAAGAAAAGGTGTGTAGCAAGCACCAGATATTTAGGAGGCCCTGTCAACTGGAAGGAAGTTCCATACAACTGTACCCACAATACTAAACATACAGCTCCTAGTGGATCTGAGCCATGGGGAACCATTCAGAGTGACTCCTCTGACAGCCTGTGACCAGGCAGGGGGTATAAGGGATTTGCTCCTTGAGGGAGCTTGGACCCAAATTATTCCGAGCCTTTTAAATTAATACTAATACCCTGAATCTGTAAGTATGACAGAGAGAGAAATGTGTCTTTTTCCACTTCATGTATAACTTTGTGAATCTCTAGTCATCCTCATCCCTTTGTTTTCCTGCTCTCTCCCAAACTGGAAAACTCCAAATGGAAAGAGCTCTAACCTTTAATATTTTAATTCAGATCCTCCATACAGTATCTGCCCTCTGAGTGGACTTGGCTCAAATGCCTCAGTATTGCTTTGATCCAGCAGTGCTAATGTTTGCTCTGCTTACCGTAAATTGCATTTTAACCTGTATTTTAAATGCGGTTTTTTTCCCCTATTATGTTTTTATTGTATTTTTACTGGTGTTAGCCGCCCTGAGCCCGGCTCTGATCAGGGAGGGTGGGGTATAAATAAAATTTATTGTTGTTATTGTTATTATTATTATTATTATTATTCTTTCCACCAAAGCTGGCAGCCTTATTGATTAAATTTAACATTCTGTATTCAAAACTAATATGAAATCAATTTAAAAATAGTTTTATTTTTCAGTTATTTTTCAGGGGTCCCCCCTACATTCTTGTATTCTTTGAGGATTTGGAAATGTAACCATCTCCTGTTTCTCTTCCCCTTCAGCTCAGAATCTTCTATTGCACCAATGGAGAGAAAGCCAGTGAAACCTGGCCCTGCGCCACGGAAATGGGAACTTTCGAAAGATGAGCCCTATTTGTGAGCTGCCAGGCAGATGGGGAGGAGAGCAGGCCATGGTGCAAAGCTCCGTGGAAATATTTTCGTGTGTGGACATTATTTCTGACCATTCACATTGTTCTGATTGGTACCTGACTGATTAAACTCAATCTCTAACGTCATCTGAATCACTTGCTATTGGTTTTGTTGTTTAGTCGTTTAGTCGTGTCCGACTCTTTGTGACCCCCTGGACCAGAGCATGCCAGGCACTCCTGTCTTCCACTGCCTCCCGCAGTTTGGTCAAACTCATGTTGGTAGCTTCGAGAACACTGTCCATCCACCTCGTCCTCTGTCTTCCCCTTCTCCTTGTGCCCTCCATCTTTCCCAACATCAGGGTCTTTTCCAGGGAGTCTTCTCTTCTCATGAGGTGGCCAAAGTCTTGGAGCCTCAGCTTCACGATCTGTCCTTCCAGTGAGCACTCAGGGCTAATTTCCTTAAGAATGGATGCGTTTGATCTTCTTGCAGTCCATGGGACTCTCAAGAGTCTCCTCCAGCACCAGAATTCAAAAGCATCAATTCTTCGGCGATCAGCCTTCTTTATGGTCCAGCTCTCACTTCCATACATCACTACTGGGAAAACCATAGCTTTTACTATATGGACCTTTGTTGGCAAGGTGATATCTCTGCTTTTTAAGATGCTGTCCAGGTTTGTCATTGCTTTTCTCCCAAGAAGCAGGCGTCTTTTAATTTCGCGGCTGCTGTCACCATCTGCAGTGATCATGGAGCCCAAGAAAGTAAAATCTCTCACTGCCTCCATTTCTTCCCCTTCTATTTGCCAGGAGGTGATGGAACCAGTGGCCATGATCTTCGTTTTATTTGATGTTGAGCTTTATATATATAAATTGTAAAGTTAAAATAACATTCCAGTAAGAAATATAAAATAACCAAAAAGAAAAAAAATGCACCAAGTCGTCTAGTTTAAGGGGTTCATAGCATAAAATACATTCTCAAGAGACTGCACAATGAATTGGAACAGAACTGACCTGATACAAAGAGAATACAAAAAAAAAGGTTGTGAATACCACCAAATGAAGCTATGTTTCACTGGGACCTGCCACCCCTATGAAGCATTTGACATATAAACATAATCTGAATCTCTTGTTGTTATAATCATTCACAGGGATTCCCAAACGCTGCCCCTCCTGCAAGTCTAAATGGAAGAATCCAAATATGTCTAGTGAAAAATAAAATAGGAAACGGGATACTTGTGAGAAGATGGGGTAGCAAAGCATGCTGGGAAGAAGGATGTGAAGGAAATGAAATCAACCCTAATAAAGCATAATTTATCAATAAAGCTAATAAGTGAAACCTTCAGATTTATTCATTCAGTTATACATTGGGAAATGGGTAAATTTCAATTACAGGAAACAGGATCCTTGTTTGTGAGAAGAGGCAGCAAAGCATGCTGGGAAGAAGGACGTGAGGGAACTGAAACCTAATTTATCAAGAAAGCTAATGTGAAACCTAAGAGAATACCACTTGGGATTTATTCATTTGGTTATACACTGGAAAAAACGGTTAAATTTCAAATTAATACAAAACCCCACAGCAGGGCATGCTGGGAATCGACCGTTGGCCTGAGGGAGCTGGCAGTGCATGCTGGGAACTAGACTGCAACTGCCGCCGCTCCGCAGCCTGGACCACGGCAGAGGCTGGCGGGAGTCGCAGGGCCTTTGGAGGTGCCCCCTTCCCCTCTTGAGGCGCAGCAGAAAGGCCCGCCAATGGCCCCTCCTGCCTCTGCCTCCGCCTCAGGACCACCAGCGCCTGAGCCCGTCCAGCCACTCTGCACCCTCAGAGGCCGAAGGCTGGAGGGCAGGCCCCCAGAGAGAGAGGGGCCCCTGGGGTCTGACTCTGCAGCCCCAGAGCCGAGAGGCTGGAAGGGGCAGGCCCCCAGGTGAGCCCGGGAGAGAGGGCCCTGGGGGGATTGCACGCACGCCCTCAGAGGCCGGGGAGGCTGGCAGGGGCAGGGCCCCCAGGTGAGCCCAGGAGAGAGAGGGGCCCCTGGGGGGATTTGCACTCTGCACGCCCTCAGAGGCCGGAGGCTGGCAGGGGCAGGGCCCCCAGGTGAGCCCAGGAGAGAGAGGGCCCCTGGGGGATTTGCACTCTGCACGCCCTCAGAGGCCAGAGAGGCTGGAAGGGGCAGGGCCCCCAGGTGAGCCCGGGATAGAGAGGGGCCCCTGGGGGGATTTGCACTCTGCACGCCCTCAGAGGCCAGAGAGGCTGGCAGGGGCAGGGCCCCCAGGTGAGCCCGGGAGAGAGAGGGGCCCCTGGGGGGATTTGCACTCTGCACGCCCTCAGAGGCTTTGTAGTCTAAGCTGGGGGGGTGAGGGATTTCTTCCCATTTGTGTGTGTGTGTGTGTATGTATATGTATATGTTATGCACTCTTAACAGTATATATTTGGTTTTACACAATATATATACATAACAATTATTCCATTCAATTAAAAACAAGATAAAAGGTTACCCAAACCTTCGGACCTCCCTCCCTGGGTTCTGATAGATAGATAGATAGATAGATAGGCAGCGTTCCTGCATCTTTCATTGTAATCTATCTAGTATATATCCACAATTTCCAAAGTTCACATTGCTTTGCAAGTGTTGGTTATATACCTGCTGCTTTTTTCAACTGCTTCCTGTGGTCTCCCAAAAAGGTTACAAAATCATTCCAGTTCAGACAGGATTGATGGAAGTCAAAAATTTGAATAAGATGTAAAAGTATGTTTAATTACCGTTGAAAATGATATGTTAAAAAAATAATTAAAAAAATATATATATTTTTTAAAAATCATTCCAGTCCCTTGTAAAAATATGATCTTCCTGATTGCTTTACCATTTCAGCTTTACCATTTCCGCGTACTCCATCCATTTGGTCTGCCCTTCTTCTCTGGTCAGTCCTTTGTCTTCTTTCCACCTCTGGGCTAGGAGCATCCATGCTGCTGTCGCCACATCCATAAACAGTCTTTTCTTATCTCTTGGTAGTTCAGCACCTGTCATCCCTAATAATAAAGCTTCTGGTTTTTTTAACAAAAGTTATCTCAAACATTTCCCCCCCCCCATTTCATTATATATCATTTCCCAGAATTCTTTTACCACCCCACATGTCCACCACATGTAATAAAATGTACCTTCCTTCTTCTTACATTTCCAACACATGTTTCAACCTGTTCTGTACATTTTTGCTAGTTTACTGGCTGCCGGGTACCAACAATTCATCATTTTCATGTAACTTTCCTTCAACGTACAGCAAGCTGTAAATTTCTTCCATAACTATTCCCATTGTGAAAACTATAACCAAAATCTCTTGCCCAGTGTATCATTACAGATATAACTTCTTCATCGTTAGTATACCATTCTAAAATCAATTTATACATTTTTAGATAGCAATTTCACATTACCGTATTTCCCAACAGATCTCTTTCGAATTTTGATATCTCCGTTTTAAGACCTATTTCTTAATCAAGTTTGAAAACATCATTTAATTGATAATACTGTAACCAATCTGTTAGTAAATCTCTGATATACTCAAACTTTTTCAACTTTAACTGATCTTCTGCTTCTGTTAACAGCTCTTTACAGGTTGCCTCCTCTGTCTGCCACATCCCTCCGTGAGGTCTACAGAGTCCAGAAGGTGTCGCTCTCTTCGGCTTCGTGGTCTAAGCTCAGGGAGCTGTCTGGACCGATATCCATTTCGGGGAACTGCGGAGGAATAGGGCTGTCAGCAGCGCTGGGAAGAGGGGACAGACATCCCAGAACCCTCTGCAACCCGGCCTGACACTACAAGGGTCTCTCTGGCCACTCTGGTTTCCCTCCTCCTCTGTCACTTTGTCATGGGATATTTCATCCTCAGAGGATGACTGTTGGCCTGGACAGGATGGAGGAACCAGCCCAGAAGTGGTGGCAGTGGTGGGGGGGGGGGGAGAGGGGAGAAAGAGAGCAGCCCAAAATGAGACAGGCAGGAACCCAGAAGCCAAACTCTCCTGCCCGCATTGAGTCGATATCTGACTTTAGAAGACATCTGAAGGCAGCCCTGTTCAGGGAAGCTTTTCATATGTCATGAATGAGTGTATGTTTCATCTTACCTCGATTACGCTTGCCTCCAGGTGTTCTCCAGGTGGGGTGCACGGCAAATAAAGGGCCTCCCCGTCCTCCTCTGGGGGGCTCTCTGGTACTTCCTGCGGCTCTTCCTCCTCGATAGCCACTTCAGAGGCTGCCTGCCAGCAGAGACAGGACCCCAGAGGTGGTGGCATTGGTGGTGGGGAGAGGGGAGAAAGAGAGCAGCCCAGAATGAGACAGGAACCCACATAGAGCCACTAGCCAGGGAAGCCCTACAGCCCTGGCGCCATGGGGGCTGGTCCATCAGGACAAGTGGGGCAGCAAGCTCATCTGCCCCAGCAGCCCCCTGCCTGTGTGCCCCCTTGCTCAAGACTGGTCCAGAAGGTGGCCTGGCTGGCCAGCCAGCAGCCTCCTCCTCCTCCTCCTCCCCAGCCTCAGGGTTCTCCAGCTCAGCAGGGCTTCTCTCCTGCTCTGTCTGCTACGTACCTCATTGAGCGAGTCCCAAAGGGAATCCAGGGAGGACACGGAGGACGGAGGAAAGGCTACTAAACGGGGACAGACTTGGAACTGCAAGGAAAAGATGCAAAAGACGAGCAATTAAAAAACGCAACCAAACATTAAAACTCAAGGCACCCATAACTGAAACAACAGTCTCATCCTACGGTTGATATGCCCCCTCCCCTTCTGCCAATCACCACTTAGGCCACGGCCACCTACCCAGTCAGGGCTGAGGAGATCCAGCCGTCTTGCGGTCGTCTCCTCCTCGCCTTTTCCTTCGTCCTCCTTGACATTGAGTATGTCCTCCTCGGTGGCTGACTGCTAGCAGAGACAGGACCCCAGAGTTGACGGTGGGGAGAGAGGAGAAAGAGAGCATCCCAAAATGAGAGAGGAACCCAGAAGGCAAACTCTCCTGCCCACATTGAGTCGCTAGCCAGGGAAGCCCTACAGCCCTGGCGCCATGGGGGGCTGGTCCATCAGGAGGAGTGGGGCAGCAAGCATGGTCTGCCCTTAGCAGCCCCCTGCCTGTTTGCCCCCTTGCTCTCAACCGTCCAGAAGGTGGCCTGGCCGGTCAGC